TAAGGGTATACTTGTCATCATCAATTTTTTAGAGATTAATAAAATAGGGTTAGAGGAGAAGGGTGATTAATTTGACTTCTTCTCTTACCTCTTCTCTTCACCATCTTCCTCTCTCTTATACAGTTATTCAGATCTGTTCTATTCTGCTAATCACTAAGTTTAATCTTGATATTAGAAGACTGATTTACATCTCTAATCAAGGGCAAATCATGGTACCTTGTTATAGCAAATTATTTACAAATAATTTCAGGAAGATTTAATAAAAGCAAGCATCAAATTACTTTGAAAATGATCAAACCTGACTGCATGCCATGCATAGCACAGCCAGAGCTGGAGAACGGACATGGCTCAGCTGTGTGAGAAAGAAGGCTGGGCCTAGAAACCCAATTGTTTGCATGATCTGCAGAATCAGAAGGTTTTAGAGGAGAGTTAAGTTCTAGGAAGGGATATAGTACAGATTAAATAAGTAAAGGGAATATACTTAATTGTACAGCATAAAAATATTCTTTATGCCAATTAACCCATACAACTCATAAATAAATAAGTAAAGGGAATATACTTAATTGTACTGATTCTAGGTAGCCACTAATTCCTTTTCCCTTCACAATGTTGCAATAATGAATTGAGATGTAGAAAGTCAAGCAATGGGAGATCCAATTTCCCACCACAGAAAATGATATATAACTCCCTTATGCTTTTCCATGCTCCAAAATACTGGGTTCACTAGTAGCACTTACCTTACGAACTGAAGTTATTGAAAGACCTCTGCTCACAAGGGTGTCTGCAATCCATCCTCCTATATTTGCAAACACTGCCATTGTTAACCATGGCAAGACACAGAACAGTCCAGACTCAGTAAGGTTAAATTTCAAGACCTGGAAAAAGAAACAATCAAGAATAAGATATATTCAGCCCAATGGCCATGTTAATTGACATGAACTGCTTTTTTTTATATAATTGACACAAACTGCTTTTGGTTCTCTCCATATCAACCATGAGGTCGTGTTCAATTACTTTCAGATAGAGATTTACAGTTGCAATTACATAATACACAGTTCATTAAAAGAAAAAACATGTATTTGTTTAAGCCTTAACATATTTAGAAATACAGTGAAAAGAACACTTAAACCTAACTGCAACAGTCCAACTGCAACTTAGATTGAAATCTGTATCCCAAAAAGAAAAAAAAAATGAAATTTGCATCCAAAGGTAGTTAGCCAAGTAAATAATAAGATTTTTAATGGAATAATGAGACATGCTGTGGATGATAATTTTTTGAATTTTCACTGTCAGATGTTCAAGCACTTCTTATAAAAAATGGACTCTTTTCAAGAAGAATCTAAAAAAAAAAAAAAAAATCAAAGTTTTAGATAATAAAGACAAAGAGAACAAAAACACAAAACTATTAAGTAATATGCAACTAGTTATAAGAGAATTGCCCTCGAAATTATGTGATTAGTCTGGGACAAGATTTAATACACCAGATCCTTTGATAATGTACTAAACTCACTAAACCAAGGATAGTCAAGTATTTTCTTATTATTTGAAATATTTAGTAAAAAATTTAAATATATAAAAAGGAACAGATCAAAGAAAATAAAAGAAAACTCACTCATCAACTTAGCTGAATTGTGTAGACAATTTTTTTCCCAACAACCAGACCATTTCTCCGATAGCAAAGTAAATTGACACTATCCCAAGACAAACAACCAAAAAAATAAAAGAAACAAGGTATGACTAACAAGATTCAGTGCAAGCAAGAAACACTTCAAAACTTTCCAAATTTCATATGGATTCATTTGCAAAGATGATAAGAAATGTATGATTTAAAATAAGGGGTTTTAGGTTCAGGTCATTTTAAAGAAAATTTTTTAGTAAGTGGAAAGATAGGAAGACCAGATAATTGTCCTGTAGCTAAACCAAGCTAGTATTGTTTTAAGTTTTAACCAGAAGATGAAGTTAGATCTCATCATCATTTATCATGCAATTTGTAATGTACAGGACATCAACCTGATTAATATGCATTAGCCAACAAGGAAGATGGCATTTTCTGGTTCCAAGTCCTGGCTCCTTTCATGTAATCAACATGTAGATAATAGAAGATGGAAAAAGATGGGAAGATCTTTCAAGTGGATGAAATTACATTTGTTTCAAATATTAAAATCCTTTTTTTCTTTAAGGCTGTGTTTGGTTTCAGTGCAGTTTTATTTGCACTAGTACAAATGTATGGGAGTGCAAATGAAAAAATGCAAATTTGGTTTAATTTTGTTTTGGATTTTACTTTATTCTACTTTTGGTCTTATTTTACTTCATTTCTATTGCAACCAAACAAAGTAAGGTAAAATTTGAAACAAAAATAAATCAAAACTTGCACCCTAATCATTTGCACTACCATTGTTTTGCTCGGTGCAAATGAATTTGCACTGCAACCAAACACAGCCTTATATACATAATGGGAAAAAAAAATAAAAATGCCATTACCAAATTTTGGTCCCTGCTATCCAAGGTCTTGGGAGGGGTGGACTAGACAGTAGACACAGACCTAACCTTTAGCATTTTTTGCACAAAGTGGTCATTCTGCAAGTCAAACCTGTTCATGTTTGTCAGCCCAGGATTCTACCATTGCACTAAGTTGTACTAACACATAAATATATACTGGGAAAATGTTTTCTCATGGGGTCAAGTAGGTCCATTTCTGCCATTAGAGGGATATGTGATCTATTAAACTCTCATTAAGATAGAATAGAAGATGCTCTGGACCATCCACATGCTCAATCTCTTGCCCATGTCATTTCAATACCCCACCCATATTTTAGTATTTTCCCCCAAATGACACTGATATCCGGAGTTTGAATTTTCAGTTAACAATTGTCAACAAAAGAAGGTTTATTCTGGGGAAGTGGCAATATTTTGACAATGAAATTTGCCCCATGAGTAGAAGATGGCAACACATGGGCCCTAAACCTACCATGTGTAAGATTCCCATGTAGTATACACTTCTTTTCTATGTATGAAATTTGCATGCTTTGACTTGCTGTATCATGTCATTCTGTATTTCATGTAACATTTTAATGTTTAATTACTAAATAGATCTGTGGTACATTTTGACATAAAGCAATTCCAAACAATTTCAATTACCTGATTATAGTATGTAGGCATCCACGTAAGAAGGATAAATGTCCCCCAGTTATGGCAGAAATGGGAGATTATCAGAGCCCAAACGGGTGCCTTTGACAAAATCAATTTCCATGGAATGACAGAAACTGGTTTCTTTAATTCACTGCCCCCCAGGATAAGCTTTTTTTCCTCTACACGAAGCTCTAGATCTTCTTGCGGTGAGCTGTGTGCCTAGTGAAAAAGCCCAGAGAAAAGTAGAAAAGAAAAGGTTGAGAAGATTTCCATGAGATGTCTTCTAAAACATTGTAGTATTGTACTAGAAAAAAGTAAACAAAATCACCTGATTAGGCATTTAGTTGTTATAGAGAGAGGAGATCCATCCTAAAACAACATATAATATGAGCACAAACATAAACTGCAATGTTGAAAACTAATGGCAATGCATGATGGTTAACTCATACCCTTGGACAGAAAAATCTACTATAGATTTATACATATTAAAAAACTGGTCTTTGAGCTCAAGACATTTGACCATTGGAAATAGAAGACAGCATCAAATGCAATTTGCTTTGTGATTGTAGCCTACAGAGTGCCATACAGTTGTAGCCTACAACTGAATGCACTTATTTCCATAAGTGACAAAGGAGGAGGAGATATAAATTCAATTTCTGAGTAAAGTCTAAAGCATGGTTAAAAGGATAAAATGCCTGCCTTGTTCAGCCATAATGCAAACCAGAAATGTAAATTCGATAGGTGACAAAGGAGGAGGAGATATGTAAATTTACTTTCTGAGTAAAGTCTAAAGCATGGTTAAAAGGATAAAATGCCTGCCTTGTTCAGCCATAATGTAAACCAGATGCTTCCAAGGGAGCCAAAAGAGTAAAATACAGAAGGCCATCCAAACTTATGGATTAGAACAGGAGAAAGAGCCAGGCCAGTGACAGAGCCAAGGTACATGCCACTGTACACTAGTGCAAGTGCTCTGCTTCTCTCAGATACAGGAATCCACTTCGATAGTATATTATTCATTGCTGGCATGGCAACACCCTGAAGACAAATATATCAAGCAGGAAATTTAGATGCAATCAGGTCCAAAATTAGCAAAATGCAGCAGCTAGATATCCCATAAGTCATAAGATAAACTCCTTAAATCATTAACCAAGGTAAAAAAATAAATAAATAAAAAAATATCTCAAACCATTGGTGCAGAAAAATACATAAAAATAAACCCTCTAACAACTAAGAATCATGATGGAAAGAAATTTTATTAGTTATTAAGAAACACCTGAAAAAATATTTTCTTGAAACTTTTAGGTAATCTTCAATGCACATGCCAAACCATGTTAGCCTACTTTCCCTCATTTATTGAGCCTACTCCTAGATTCCCAAAAATCAAATGATAAACCTAAAATTATTTAAAATTTTATTATCCAGTATATATTAGATAATATAGTTATAAACCATGGAAGCAAGTACATTTCCTCATAAATCACTATATCATAGGAGTTATTCATTTATAAAATAGTAATTACAAGGGGGCCTACAGTACAAATGAAAAAGAATATTCTAGGCTGAATTTCCTTTCTTTTCTATTCTTGTTTTAAAATGAACAGTTACAGTTTATGTAAGACAGAGTGCAAGTAAGTGTTTTTATTTTTCCTGTTTTCCTCTCTTTTCAACTCTCACATGGTATCAAAGACATTCATGCTCAGTTTGGTAAGAGTACAAATACAAATATGTACAATGCAAAACCTTGTATGTTGTATTTCTAAACCTTGTATTTGCATTTTACGTATTTGTACTTGTACTCTTATTTCTTTCAAATTCACTATTCAGACAAGCATTTGACCAGAAACAACCTATTATAGGGTACTTTGTCTTCTATTCAAACTTCTAGATAGTGAAAAGATGCAAAACAGAGAAGATTGTTGACTGCAAATGTTGTATAAAGGAAAGGACGACAATAGTCAGCTAATGTTAATTAAAGGTAAAGATCTAAAGGATAATTTTGTAACAGTAGGTCGCACATAACCCGAGCTTAAATTAGTCAGTTTATCCATGTATCAACCTGTTTAAGTATCCTATCAAAATCAGATTCTGCTCTAATAGATTATATTACTATATAAATATCTTAATATGTAAATTTAAAGACCATTTGGAAGTCAACATCATATAACAAGAAGACCACTATAAGACCAAAGCTTAATGTAAAGACCATTTTGTAACAGAACCAAGTATCAAAAGCTTAATGTAATGCCTTCCAGGAATGCATCTTGATAAATGGGAAATTTTTAATGTTAACCTATAAGACCAAAACCAACCATTAAATAGGCAAATGATTTTCATGCAAATCAAAGTATGCTTCTCAGAGCCAAAAAACAGGAATGCAGGAAGAAGCTAACCTCACCAATCCCCATAAGTGCACGCATTATAAGTAAGAAAGGAAGTCCAATTCTTGCAGCCACAGGTGTCAGAACAGTTGCAACTGACCACCAGACCACCCCAAAACCCAGTACAAACTTACCACCAATCTTATCTGCCCATATTCCTCCAACAATCTATAATGGAAAGTAAAAGGCAGTTAGAAATATAAGAAATCAAGTTTGACCTTTTCAAGCATATAAAGATAATGATAGGATACATAAAACCACTATACCATCAGCTCTATAGAGATATCCCCTGACTGTTTAGAAAAAGATTATCAAAAGCAAAAAAAAAAGCTGAGTATTCTTCCTCTAATAGCCTGTGAGCTGCTAACTAAGAATGTAACTTGCACACAATCTTTTGGGCTACTAAATCTGATGATCTGTCATTCCTCTCTTGCCACATAACCCAGAACACAGCCACCGGAACCATCCTCCAAGCAAATTTTCCATGTTTGCTTAGACCTGAAGTTTCCACCCCTCAGGAAATTCAGAACCAAGCCCGGGCAGCAACCTTTAACAGCAAAAAGGCCAAGTACCCTGACCCAAACTGAGTGAAAGTTTGCAATGTAATAGCAGATGGTCAATTGTCTCTAGGCAAGATTCACACAGCACACAGGCATCATCCGGAACATTGACACCTCTCTTCAGTAAATCATATCTTATGAGAATCCCATTCAGACAAGCACTCCAGACCAAAAAAGCTACTTTGAATGGGATGTTTTGCACCATACTTTGTTGGCTGGGAAATCAGGTTCCTCTGAACTGGTCAGGAAGTTATAGAATGAGCAAACAGAAAATTGACCAGATATCTCCCTTGACCCTATCTGCTCAATTCTGATCCACCTGAACACGCACAATCTTTGCATCATTTCCATCCATGTAATCACTTCCCAATCATTTATGTTCCTCCTCAACTGTGGGGCCCAGGCAATGTTCCCTTCATGAATCTGCAAGTAATCTGCCACTTTTGCTTCCTTGTGAGCCACTATGTTAAACTGAACCATATACATTTCCATTTCAAGCAAAACTCTCACTTTTATGAAATAAATACATAAAGATCCACTAATGGTTGACGTATTAACATGAAAGAAAATGAGAGAACTCTTCTATTTACAATAAGTGTTTTGGGTCTAAGGTGGTGCATTAAAGCACGTCACCACTTGATGCAGTCATCACCATGCATTGCCACTAGCAAGCCAATCCTCAGATCCCATATTTATGTGTGTTGTGACCAACCTGAATGCTAGGGATATGGGTCCAAAAGATTGGACCTGATCAATTATTGGGTGCAACTCAGGTCTATACATTAGCATTTAGCTAGGAATTGGGTCCCATCAGATCCAATACTCAGCTTGCTGTACAGTATCCAGTAATTAGTTATGCAGGTAGACATAACTAAAAGAGATGCTTAATTTCCTGAGGAAAAAATGTCATCACCCAATGTTGGTCCCAGCTTCCTGGGAATCTATCATAATTCATGAGTAATTCATGGTACGCAGATCTAATTCTAAATTAAGCATTCAGAAACTTTAAGCAGTAACTAACTTTCGTCATACTATTATCCTAGATCCCTTTCACTAATTAGTAACTATCGATTTTGTTGTTGATTGACATGATGAGAGATACAATCAGATTTAGGTATTTTAAGGCTCTAGATCTAACTTACAAATTTATATGCTAGACCATATAGTAACTATGATGACAAATTTTATTGTAGGATTTAAATGATCTTACGACCACCAACAGATATCAAGTGCTTATTGGGTCCCATGTTTCCCACCTCACCATATTTCTGTGCTGAACCATTCATATTATATAGGTCAAAAACAAACTATTGCAACAAACCTGAGTGAGTAGGTAACCCCAGAAAAAAGAAGACTGAATTAGACCAACAGTGGCAGAGTTCCAGTTGAATTCCTGTGACATTGGTAGTATCGCAATGCTCATATTTACCTGCAGAAGATGAGTTGATATATGATTAAGAAAAAGTAAATTGTTATGTTGAGTTGCTTAGAATAGCATGGGTCAATAAGCATTAAATGGGACAAGAGAAGCTCTGATAAGTGATATCCACTACAGCAAAGCTATGTACTAGAGGAACTTTGTGAGTAAATAAAATGAGCCCGGGCATCACTAGCATCTAGATATTGAAGATGGAAAAACAGGAAATAGCTTACACGGTCCATGTTACAAAGGAGAAATGCTGAAAAACATAGTAATACAATCACCCAACGCTTTGGAAATCGCTCCCACCAGTAAGTTATTTTTGGCATATTCCCTTCAACTAAAACAACCTCATCTGACATCTCGGAAGAATTCAGTGGGTCCAGATTTGGTTCTGTTATGTCAAAATGTTCTGGTTTATAGTCAGCACGTGTAGTGGTTGCCTTGCGATACTCAAACTGCTGTAATTGCCCATCAGATGTACCAAGCTTATCCAACTTTAGTGGCCGAGGCCAGCTTCTATGAGAGAAATCTGAGGAAAGAAAACATTCACATCTTCCTTGATTTCTTTTCTTGAGATTAATGATATGAAACTTCTCATTAAACTGTATATGTTTTGAAAGAGAATGGACTACTTCACCAAGGACTCTGACTCTCTGCTTTATAGTTCTCTTCTCGGAAGAACCAATAAGATGACAATCCAGGTGATAAGAGTGCTTAGATGTATAAGAACAGCATTCTCTTAAAATGGTTAGTCTTCTATTAAAAATATTTTCCTTCATATATCTTGAACCATAAATTCCCAGTTGCTCTCCTCTCTGATGTTTAATAGCTTGCTCTGTTTGCCATACTTTTCCTGCAAAGATTAGAAGAGACTCATCTCACAAGTAAAAAAGAAATACTGAAACAAAACCTCTATTGCTTCTTTCTTAACCACAAGTAGCAAAAAGTAATACTTAACAGATAAGTATTGGGATATGCCTCCATATGTTCCACACATTCACAAACAGAATTATAGACGCCATAAGTCAGACAAATTCAGATCCATATGCTTAGATGGTGTATGCAATTATCACATCCATAAGAATAACGGTTGCATGCCTCAATATGTACTTTTTGACTAAGAAATCTTCAGAAAACTTCTGTTTATGCACTTGAAATGAATTCTAGCAGGCAAATACAAAATAAATAATAAAACACATTAGACTTAGAAGTTAGAACACCTCCCGCATCCTTAAGTCCACAAACACTAAACTGAAATGAATCAACTTACAGATAGCAGAACCATGTGGTTTACATGGTTATGATACATTTTAGAGGATTTCTAATGCATGAATGAATGCTATATGAATGTCAGTAAATAAGGCATTTTGGTAAAATAACAAGAAAAAGGAGGGAAGGATATTAAATAATGTATTCACGCTATAATCTTGAAGAAATTGTGGATAATTTTTCCCTAGAAATGTCCAGCCCAAGAAAAAGACAGGAGTATAAACTCCACAAAGCCATTTTAGTCAGCTTTATGGAAAATGCAGCGAATTTTACTAAAGGGCCTTTACCAAATGTTGGATCTGACTATCTGGGACCTTGGGAGGGATAGAGTCTACAGTGCATATGGATTTAACCTTTGGATTTACCATTGTATCAAGTAATGGCCCCTAAAGTGCAGATATTTGTACTGCCAGCACTCTTTGTGTCCATTGAGTTCTCTTTTTTCATTTCTGACAGCCATTACCAAATACAAGGAGGTATCCTACCAACCCAGTTTTGGAGCAATCAAAATAGAAGATGCAATTGGATATTTTAGCAAACCTGAGGAACTTTTAATATAGCACACGGACAACTTCCAACCAAAAATCCCGTCAGTACCACAATCCAATGGAGCATCCTATTAAATTAACCTTCTAAAGTGCACAAGCATCTATTTAGGAGAAAACACAGTTGCTGAGAAGCTTGCTTGGGTGCCTGCAGTTCCTTTATTGAGATGTTTACTTGAAAGGGGTCAATCTAGCAATCAGCAGAGAATTTTATGCATCTTACCAAAATTAAAACTGATTTTATGCCTCATGCATCCCTTTATTTTTGTCTTACTGGTTAATAAAAACCGGGCAACGAAATCTCAGCTCAAGACTAATATAAACGGCATTTCCCACAATTCACGCTTCTTTCTTTCGACCCAACCCCACCTCTCAAAACATTTGCAACAGTAAAACGAGAATTAGTTCAAGAAGAAAGCAATCTAAATTGCTCCACCAGCATAAATACCAATAATGCAAGAACGAAGCAAACAAAGAAAACCACAGCAAAACTGCAGAAACAAATCCAGATCACACAATTCCAAATAAACTGAAAAACAGAACTATGACAACGGTGTTGATGGATTACCTGAACCAATAAAAGAACCAAAATTTCGGCTCGAAATCATGGCACTAATTTCCATTGCTCCTGCAATTACGACACCAACTGTTAAAGAATCACACTGAAGCTATTCGATCATTTCAGAGACGAATTCACCATTCAAAATACTGGCAGAAAGCCAGAAAATTTTGTTGTCTAATAGAGGTTGTCTAAACGCTCTGGCTCTCTCACTCGTGTGTGCGTCTGAGTAAAAAACCAAGACACTGCTGAAGTTTGGAGAGAGAGAAAGAGAGAGAGAGAGAGAGGAGGAGGAGGAGGAGGAGGAGGATAATCAAGGCCTTTTGTTTCAAAAGCGGGAAAATATATATTGTAAAGGTAAAATACCAAGGGAACCCATGAAACTGGAAGAAATATCGGGAAAACAAAGCGGGTTATTGAAGTAAATATACGATACTAGAAGTGGGTTTGTTGGAAGTTCAACCGGGAGGTGTAAATTGAAGATCTTATTACTCTGAGTCTGCGCCATGCGGCCCAAGACAATTTCTCAATCGCAGAAGTTGCTCTCGACTGTCAACACTCAACACTCAAAATAAAAGATAATAGTAGCATTATCGGTTACCATTTTCCTTGGTGAGGTCAAATCACGTAGTGTTGGAGCTGAGGTATGGACACGTGGCAAATAATTTTGTTGCAATGCCAAGGTTTCATAAAATAAGTTACAGAAAATGAGATTGCGTTGCTACGGTTACGGTTAGATGTGAACACCGCACATCTGGAAACTGGAATGGAATGTGGTGCGGGACCCACGTGCAATGTAATACACTCCTTTGAATTTGACATAATATTCCAGATGCGTGGTACACAAAAATTTCAAAAATTTCTTAGATAAAATTAAAATAAAAAGGGAAAATGACCGATCAGCCCAGATGAAAATTTTATAGCCCCATAGTACAGTGGAATGCATCTGACCGTGAAATTCACGGACACGATGTGGTTTATAGGGGGGAGAGGGCTAATAATAAGGGGGCTGGGATTCAGAATTCTGCATCGGATGTATCTATACTTTTCCGAAAAATAAAAGCTTTGTTTCTCATCATAAATAATTTTGCTCCAACGGTTTGGTTTAAGCAGCCCCTTGACTCTTGGATCCCAAAGTTGACGAGACTGGACTCAGTTATCAAATTTATCCTCACAGCATTTTTAAGAGTTATGCTCATGTGGTTAACAATGTGTTGTGGCCAAGAGATACAAACTCTTTAGCAACAACAAGGTGTTCCTTGAAGAATACAAGGCCTCTCAATCAAGGTTTTAAGTTTCGCAATGTATCGGGATACAGGCCAATACGTATCGTTTCGGAAGAGTTTCGATACATGGAACATGTATAATTACATAGTTTTGTATTTTTTCGTCCGTATCGGCTTTGTATCAGACCATTTCGGGTATGTATCGACCGATATAACCCAAAACGCGTCAATACGCATTATGTATTAGTCAAATTTAATTTCTCTCTTTTTTTTATTTAAGTTTAATTTATCTCTCCTCTCTTTCATTAATATCAATTTTAATTAAGTCTTAAAGTTTGAGACGTCACTAAATGCTAATATAATTTAATTAAATGCTCATTTAAGTTACCTTTGATTACAACATTTAATATGTCATTAAATGTTATTTAAGTGAAACGACTTGTTAAAAATCACAAACCAAAGGTAACAAGTTTTGAACCCAAGTCATTTGCTTATAACATAATTAATTAACTGTTATGCCAACCTTAATTACTTATTAGAATGGCATGTTTTTTTTATACTTAAAGTAATCCTTCTCACTTTGGTGGATGTTTCCCAACAAATGCTATAAATTTGATTATTAATATTTATATAATAATAAGATGAATACAAGTTATATTTATTTATTGAAAATTAAGGTATATATTAACTTGTACACATAATAAATATTATCTAAATCTATATATGATAAATATTAACTAATAAATGATTTCAAAATAATATTAACTAATAAATATTAGTATATATACACACATTTTAGTTCTTCTATTATTTTTCAGTGGTTACTAATTATATCCTGATACTTTATATAAATCATTAAAGAATAGTTTTTATGTTGAAATAAATTAGTTATACTCATATAAAACTCATTTTTATTATTGTTCATATTTTTCAGGATTTTTTTTGGATTTTCTAGTGTATCCATGCGTATCTTGATTTTTCGCCTGTATTTATACGTTTCCAAAGCGTATCCCAATACTTTTCTTAAAATTACCTTTCCGATATACACCTTGTGTTTCCAATACTTTGAACCTTGCTCGCAATCTCAAAGTCTAAAGACTTTTTTATGAGATTTTTCAAAACCCACATTTGGGGAACAATTGTGCATAGAGATGCTTCCAAAGTTCTGATCTCATATAAGCAAAAATTTTGTGCATATGGCATCCAGCTGCGTATTGGGATTATCTCCCATACATGTATGTTAAATTCATGTGCAGATTTTCCAATGTACTACTAGACACTCATATTTATAGAGTGTGCACAGGGCAGAAACAGGATTCTTTATGGGGGGAGGGGGGCAAAAACTAATAAACATGGATTAGGGAGGCCAAAAGTTAATAAACATGAATGGGGCCAAAATATAAATGGGATAAAAATGGGGATTAGTGGGGAGCAAGAAGTTGAGTACCATGTGATGGTTAAGGGGGTGTTCCACAACATGGCTGGTTTTGTTTTTGAAAACAAAAACAACTGCCATATCAGCAAAAATAATACAATTTTGCTGATGTGAAGTTGTTTTTGTTTTCAAAACAACCATGTTGTCTAACATCAGCTAAATGTCCATTTGTTAGAGCAATCTATATCCAAACTAATTCAGGATTCAATATTGGACTCTATGGTAACCAATCCAAGTAGTAGGTAGCAAAAGAATGGTTACATATACTTCACCTTGACCAGGAATGGCTATCTGATAAGTGGATGATACTTATAAGGTTGGTATGAGACACAAGAAGTGGATTATTATTTCAAAGAGCAACACCTGAACCTAAGCAGATCTATACTATATAAAGCAGATACTTGTCTTGGTTTGGTGTAAGTCATAAAAAGATAAAGTTGATTATATAATGTTAACTTATATCTTTAGCCTTTTATTTGTGTGCATACCCTTATACTCATTCTAGATAAGATGAATACATATTTAATCTCATAGAAACTAACTTATCATCAATCTGGTATAAATAGGCCTACTGAAATATATAATCGCATTGATATATTACACGGAGTGAATGGTTATTCGATCTTTGTAGATGGTTATTTCCAAGGGTGGAGCTAGGATTTTTTTGTTGGGGAGGAGGGCAAAATTAATAAACATGGATAGGGGAGCCAGGGGGGCAAACACATAAGTTGGATTTAAATGAGTGTTGTGGAGATTTTCAAGGCATAGGGGGGCCATGACTCTCCTCTGCCCTTGGTTGTGTGCAAAGTTTTTGCTTGCAAGGAAACCCATCGCCCATATAAAAGGATAGTATAAAGTCAATTGCAATGTAGGTTTTGACAAGCAATCATTATCAACAAGTGATATTAGAAACCATGAAGGCAAACTACACCTTGTAAAGAGACAACATTGAGTGATTAGCTCTCTTACACTCTTATAGTGAAAGCACTGATCTGACAGTTAGGTGCTTTGAAGGCTAATTGAATGGAAGCGAGGAATTGTAGAGGGTGGAATTGGAGACTAACTCAAAGGGGGCAATTGAGTTCCTAAGTTCAGACTGGAGCAACCCGTTGTTACGGAGCCAATTAGCCACAATGTGCTTCTAGATGTCAAACAAATGGTAATGTCATTCTAGCATGTTATGAGTCTATTTTTTCTCGGACGGAAGCAAATAGGTTGGCCTATGAAGTGGTGTAGATTTATTCCTTGATTGCTTTGTAACTTGATATTCAAATTACCCCTAGATTATACCACGGAAGGAAAGGAATTTTTTTTTTTGACAAGTGAGGAAAGGAGGAATTTGAGGCTTTGTATTCTCCTTGAGGGTTGCCTTCAAACCCACCCMCCCCCCCCCCAAAGAAGAAAAAAAATACTCGTCATCCAAGATTAACATTTTTATGTGCCAACAAATTTCAGAAACTCTAATTCTTCTTTATGTACCAAAAATCATAATATAGGCATTAATCGTCGGTCTGAATCAAATAGGCACACATGATGGGCACACTGAGTAAGCATTTGAAGAACTTTTTGACACATGTCCCTTAAAATACCCCCCAACTTACCCTTTTTTGATAAATCACCCAGATTACCCTTGAAAAACATTAAAAACAACTATTGATTCAGTTGTTAGAACTTTTATTAAGTGCTCATTGAATGCTTTTACAATGTTGTGCCTCGTAAATCCGGACTCGTCGACCTTTGTCCAAGAATATGGCATCAAATCAATCGGTTTGGATGGGATGTGTTATAGTTATAATAATAGTGACAAAATGTCATTCATCTATTTTGCCTTATGAAGAGATGGCAGCCTTAGCTAATAACTTGGTCGTATTTCAATAGGAAAAAAAAAAAACTAGTCATACAGGACTTGGTCTATGGTAAAGTGAGAGGGACCAAGGAGGCAAGAGGCCTCTCATGTCTCATCTAAATGCAATAAGTTAGTTGAGACTAGTGTTTTTAAATCGTCATTGACTTGGACAGTCAGATTGTTTAGTTCGAGAAGTGTTCAAGCAATCAGTTTCATTTCACTCTTAACATATTCTTTGGTCAAAAACCATTAACTTGGTCAGCGATTAAAGAAGGGTGATTTGGCCCAACCTCATAGACAGACGACGCGTGTACGTGACTCGATGCAAGTCACAACATGGCACAAGCCATCTCGGTATAAAGCGACTTCGGGTATGCTAGTACTCCGAACTGGGGTCACCTTGGCCCAAGGACACTTCGGCGTTTGCAAGGACAGACCAAAGCACGAGCTCGAGAAGCTCGATACTGAGCTAATGAGTATCCTGCAGGTAGCTTATCTACCGTACAGATCTCCGCATGGCCATCTCGAGGAATACACCCCCATCCCTGAACCCCGCAGGACCGTACTTATAATGGTAACATTAGTTCACCAACTCCCCGTTCTGACGGGAAGTGACAGTATTACCGTTTGATGGCACTTCAACCACCTAACACGCGACAGGTCCCATCGTAACAGGGGTTCAGTGACCATTCCACCTACCCACCTGAGCCAGTGTATAAAGACCCCGCTCTCACCAGGGGCGAAGGTATGTTCTATTTTTTACTATTATTGTTGTGCGAAATCTCTACTCTTTGAGCTCCCACTGTTATTACCTCCAAATTCTACACTATCCTTGTGTTCTAACTTAGTCATCGAAGTATCCACGGCGGGTGAGTCACCCCGGGATCTCTGAGCTCCCCTCTTTCAGGAACCCGTCCTCATCGACGCTGGAAGCTAGGTCACCTCCAACAGGGAGTAGACGGATTACGCCACATCATA